TGGGCAACGAGCTTAAAGCCCCTGATGGCTCTGGGCGCTGACTCTCACCAGTGGCTATGGATGAAGTCACAGGCGATTTTCAGCCAGTGCCAGAGCATAACTCTTCCCACATCTCTTCTTGTCTAATACTTTTTTTTTACTTTTTACTTCTAAACAAGTTTATTTTAATGCTATTCAAAAGTACATAACATTACCAATTCCACAATAACATAATCAGCAAATATCTAGCTATAATTTTTTAGAGAGAGTGGTAAATAGCTCTGTATGTACGTTTTTTTAAAAAAGTTCTTTCATTGTTATACAATCCCCCCCACACACACCTTGAACACTTTACTATGCAACTCTTATTCTGGACTCTTGTCATGCCAATAACACCTAATCATATGTTCCTTTTATACAGTTCTCTCCCTCATCTGTTTCAATGCTATGAACATTATTTATCCCCTTTTTTCTTAGTTTCTCCCCAAACCCCATATTAGTTCTGTTCCATAACAGTGGCGTTCTGCAGTATTTGTCTTTTTGTGACTGAAATATTTCACTCAGCATAATATTCTCCATGGTCACACATTTTGTATAACATTTCATGAGTTCTTTGGTTTTCAGTGCTGCATAATATTCCATTGTGTGACTATACCACATCTTCTCTATCCATTCATTTGTTGATAGGCACTTGGTCTGTTGCCAACTCTTTGCCATTGTGAACAAACCAGCAATAAAAATAGGTGTGCATATATCTGCTTGGGTGGCAGTTCTGGTTTCTTTAGGGTATATTCCCAGTAGTGGAACTGCTGGGTCAGATGGTATCTCTATTTCCAACTTTTTGAGAAAGTGCCATACTGCTTTCCATAGTTATTACACCATTTTACACTCCCACCAACACTGAAGAAGGATTCCAGTCTCTCCACAACCTCGCCAACATTTGTTGCTTGCTGCACTGTTAAATTTTGCTATTCTTACTTGGGTGAGATTGTCTAATACTTTTTATAGTTTTGTAAGAAGTTGACTCTCAAGTCACATTTACACTAATCCTGTCTCATTAAGATAACAGAGAAAACTCATTCCATATGGAATTTTAACTATAGGCACAGAAGTTAGGATTTATAATATATATTTTGAGAGAACACAATTCAACCCATAACAGAAAGGGTAGAGTCTTTGAAGAAATAAGCCTCTAAAAAAATGAGATGTTTAGAGCATGAATGTTGGCAGGAACCCAAATAAAGAAAGAAAGGAAAAAAAGATAAAGATAAGTAACATTAAGCTGGCTATGCCTGGAAAGTCAGAGGAGGTAGGAGAGAGGAAAGAGTGGAGAAACAGAGTGTGGAAGGGAGAAGAGTGTTTTGAGAAAAGAAAAAAAAAGGCTAAAGCATAAATGGCTAGTCATAATACCCCAGGGGAGGGGTGCAGAAAGAATGTCTAATGTGAGTGGAAATATTTGTCATGCATCATATGACCCTGGCCCAGGGCCCCAGGGCATCATAATGTCTTCTATATTCATGAATACTTTGTGTGGGAAGAGATGTGTGGGGGCAATCCTCAGAAAAGGCCGAGTTTCATCTTTAGATTTCTGAACTGTGGAACAGCAACTGCCCTGCAGGAGCAGGAGTTTAAAGGCAGATGTATCAAACTGAATCTAAGCCATTAAAAATTCCATTAAAAAATTGCAGAAATCTCAGGAAGAGTGCTGGTCTCCCACAAGGCCTTGGTATTGGAGCTTTGAGCCACTCTTATTTTAATCTGAAAGGGCAAAAGGGCTGATATCTAGAGGACAAAAGTAATGCACATTCACTTAAAAAAAAGCATAAACAATAAAAAGAAGCAGGAAGAAGAAAAAATATATCTGGCAAGTTGAAGAGGAGTGTGTGCAAGGGAGGAGAGTAAAATTTACTTTAACAAAGAGCATAGAGTTAACTCATTAACTGGCCAGAAACATGAGTCATGTTTTGTTTATCACCGGATGACAAAAGTAAATTTCTCTCATCAGACTACTTCCCAGTTGCTAAGTTCCTTTTAATGTTATCTTTTAAAAGACTGGCTGAGAAGGACAGGACCATTCCAGGCGCTGAATACCTGGGCTAAGAAGTGAGAATAAAAGTTAGGTGAGGACGCATGACTGCTTAAGTTTGTGTTGTTGTTGTTGCTGTACTCTACAGAATAGTTGTAGTACTTAATTTTCATTGACGTCTGACATACTTTGGACATGTTGCAAGGTGGGACCAGTCCTTGGAGAGGGACATCATGCTTGGGAAGGTGGAGGGACAGCGCAAGAGAGGAAGACCACTGGACAGTGAATAAAGATGACAGAAGAAGAATTGATGCGTTTGAGTTATGGTGCTGGAGAAGAGTGTTGAATATGGCATGAATTTCCAAATGAATAAACAGGTTTATCCAGGGGGGGAAAAAAAGAGAGAGAGGAAGACTGTTGATGAGATGAATTGATTCAGTGACTGGGGTAATGGGGGTAGTAGGTGTGTGTGTCAGAGACAGTAAGATTGGCACAGGATAGAGCAAGGATTAGGGCTGTTGTACATATGGTTGCTATGAGTTACAGGTGATTCAACGGCACATAACAACAGCAACAACTTTAATTAGATCAGGATTTTAGTGGCTTAGTGTTAAGGAGTAGTGCTGCCAGTCCAAAGGTACAAAGTTTGAATCCACTGTTCTGTGGGAGAAAAATGAGCAGCCTCTTTCCTGGTGATTTATGTCTCTGAAAACCCCCTGGAGGGTCAGCTATGAGTTCTGACTCAAAGGTACAAAACAACAATGTTAATTAATAGTGATGTGAACATGCTAAGTTGGTTTGTGTGGTTTTTTTAAACCCTACATTTTCTTAAATTTTAAATTTGGCAGACGATGTGGACCAGCAACACAGAGGAGCCGCTGGATCTCATTAGGCTCAGCCCGGATGAGCAAATTTATGTGGAACGAAAGAGAGCTCCAAGGAAGATTGCATGCTTATGATCAACATTTAAATGATTTTGGAAGATGTAGAAGAAACATATGAAGAGATACATAAATCAATGAAGTGGAATATTCCGTTGTTCTTTGTTTGGGGAGATGGTGGTGTGTTAGTTTCCCCTCCATAGAGAGTTGGCTGAAACAAAGAATGTGTCCTTTGTAGAAGAGACTTTATAGTTTCTTTAATGTAGAATATATTCAAAATGTAAACTTATAGAATTTTTTAAAATTCACAGAAAAGTTGGGTTTCTATTCATTCATTGATTGTTGCATGAGAAACCTATATAATGTGTGTGTGTGTGTGTGTGTGTGTGTGTGTGTGTGTACCATCAATTCAGATCCATCTGGCACAAGAGGAGATTGTCCCTGCTTCTCCAGTGGACAATCTGGTGGATTCAAACCACGCACCTCCAGGATTGCAGCACAGCTTCTTGCCACTAAGCCAGAGTTCCCTTGAAACCTCTAGCAATTTTGATACTAAGAAATAACCAACGATTCTTCTAGTCCTGAAGTAAGTTCATTTGCAGATAGTTTACAAGTTCTTAGAATAAATGGCAGTTTCATTTTTCTCCAACCTTTCAAATGAATGTAATTACAAAAATGAGACCTTTTGCAAAGAATTTCAGATTTTTGTCTTGAAATGAAATCTAATTTTTCCCTTTTTAAAAAGAACAAAACAGTGGCCTAGTGGCAAGAAGCTGCACCGCAATCCCAGAGGTACGTGGTTCAAATCCACAAGATGCTCTGCTGGAGAAGGAGGGGCAATCTCCTCCTGTACCAGTCAGATCCGATTTGACGGTACACACAAAAAATAATAAAATAAAATAAAAATTAAAAAAATAAAAAGAACAAAATAAAAATCTCACGTTTTTTACAACCTTTAGTTAGGGATGTCTCTAAGTGAAGGGAGGAAACCCTTCATTTAGGTGGGTGAACATTTTACACTAGCACATAAGAAGGTAAGAACTCCAGAACTGTAAGATTCCAATTGCAAAAGTCTCAAACGAAAGTCCTTTCATCAGAGATAGAGGTCGTGTCATCTTCAGTACACAAGAACTGGATTAAGAGTAGAGAGACTTGGATTCTCGTTTAAGTATTACTTTTTACTGTAAGTCAGGCAAGCCAGGTCCAGTGCTGTTTCTTCACTGGAAGGAAGAGGAGGTTGCACTAGAAGACCCCTAAATTCCCGTTCGTGATGATTTCACGGACTTGTTTTACCAGGCCCAAGACTTCTTCCACGCCTCCCAGTGTACCCGTTATTCGGCTGCTCCCACATCCTGCACCAGAGGGCGCTGCAAGCGAGCCCAGGATAGCGTGTGGTGGGCGGAGTCTCCGAGTCTGGGAAGTCTCTAGGAGGAGGGGTGATTGGCCGCAGCCAGGGCGGAAAGGGGCGTGAAGACGGAGGGGCGAGATGCGCGGTGACGTCACGCTGGTGGGGGCGGGACCGGGTTGCGCAGCCCGTGACGCTGCGGACACCGCGGAGCTGGGGATTAATGGGAAAAGTTTTGGCAGTATCCTGAGAATCCTGCGGAGCGTGCGGGACAGCGGTAGCGCATCGGGAGGTGGCCAGGACAGGTCAGTTTGGACCGGGGAAAGGGTTGATCAGGGGGCGGAGGGAAGGTACAGGCCCGGACAGACGCTGCCATCGGGTCTGGGACGCAAGGCCCGGCCGGGGGGGTATGGGGAGCACGGTCTGGGCCGGCGGGCTGCCCCAATGGCAGATTCCCTGATGCTTCTGTCCAGGAGGCTCTTCGATCGGACATCGTCCGAGGTCCCGCCCCACTGACCCTGAGCCCCTTATCGCATAGATCTTCATCACTGTTTGAGGCCTCCTCAGCTGCTCGTGCCTGGGTCTCGTGGCTCGGTCTTCTCACCCTTAACTTCCACTGATACCCTGTCCTGGGACCTGGGGTCCTCTCCCACTTCTCAGCCTTGACTCTTGACACCTTCTTTTTATCCTTACTTTGATGTCCCAATTCCTAGACCAGAACTTCGTTGCCCCATCTCTGCGCAAGTCCTCTCGGGGTCTTCTCTGTACCCATCTGCCCACTCCCCGTTTCCTGTTTTCATCCTTACATCCCTGCCGGCTCCCTCGTTCACTCCTTTCCCCCTAGCCTCTGGTCCCTCCCCCTCTCATCTTTCCTGGAATCTTATCGGGCCTTTTCAGCCTCGTGCAACCCCTGTCTATCTAAGCCCATTCTACTCCGGCTCCTTTCATTGGCCTTGTTTTTGCCCTATATGATTTCCTTCATATGAACCCTGTTCCCTCGTCCCTCCCAGTTGCCTCAGCTTCAGGGGCAGTTAGCCCCATACACTACCTTGCTTCCCAGTGATCTGCAGTTGAGATAGCCATAGGATTGGGTGTGGGCCTTCAGTCCCTGATTGAAGCAAGTAGTTGAATGCCTGAGGTAAATAGTATTTATGTCCGAGGGGGAGAATTTGCTGGGGTGTTTCCTCAGGGTTGATGCCCAATTTGTTTGCTATTCTTCTAGTCTCAGCTTTGTGGGCCTGTTGACTTCCAGGAAGCCTTTGGGGAGACACTGGTCGCTGAGTTGAGTGTTTGCCAGGGGCGACTGGAGGCCTGGTCCAACTCTTTTTCCCCTTACAGGAAACAGGGCTCTGTACTTTTTCACTCTGGAAGTTTTAAATACATTTCAGCCATGAACCTCTCTCTCCTGTTTTCCCAAACCGCATCCCAAAAGGCTGAGTCAAGTCTTCAGAAGGTATACCCTGACTCAAGAACATGAGTTTTGAAATTGATTGCTGTTCCCATAGACCTGGGACTCACAGGCATCTGTCCCTGTTATTGTTGGTGGCTTGGAACCAGCTGCTGATTTTCCCTCCAGCATTCCCAACTGACTGTGCCAGTCTCTCTTGTTGGTCATTTGATTAGTTTCTCTTAATGAGTCTTAACCCTTTCTTTTCCATGGGACGTTGATTCCCTGTGGCTCTAAGAGGGAGACTCAATGTGATGTTCTGTTTCTTTTGCCCAGGCATCCGTTTATATGGTGTCAGTTTGCTATCTGCTTGGGCAGGTTGTGGGACTGCATTATTTAGTCCTCAGCAGGAACTTGAGTTGTGCTTCTAGTCACATAGATCATTCCCTTGAGGCTCGAGAGCCCCTCCTCTTCCTGATGTGTTTAAGTATTTAACCTTCTTGCCTGTCAAAAAATTCTTGTTTGATGCCTTCAACTTGTGCTTCTTTATTCTGCACTGAACCTTCAGAGACTTCTCTAGGAAATTATGTAGCTTCTATTTCCCCTCAATCTGATCTTGGAAGATTCTGAAAGCATTACCCACTCTCACTTTTAGCAATGAAGGCCTCTTGTCTCACCTGGCTCCATGTTTCTAGATCTGCTCTTTTGAGGATTGCGCTCTCTGGCTTTTAGCCAGACTTGGACACAAACTTGGCAACCTCTGGGCTCTGTGGTGGAGAGCCAAGTGAACCAGCTAGACTAGACATTAATGTTTGGAATCCTCTCACACACTGACTCCGTTCTATGAAAGTAGGGTTCTGTCTGAGCCATTCCACTTCTCCACTGGCCCCTCAACCCTCACCTGCCTTGCATTAGGGAGAAATGTAGGCAAAGTGGATCTGAAGGGTCCCCTATGCCTAGAAAAAAAACATCCCTGTGGAATTTTGGTAGTTTCATGAGATTGAAGCAAAGTAACCTAATCTCTAGTTCTGAAGAAAAAGGACTTTATTTTATTCTTTTGAACTTTTTTTTTGCTGTTCTTTGCTTGGGAGCTCTGGTGGCTTGGTGATTAAGAGTTGCACTGCCAACTCAAAAGCACACAATTCAAATCCACCAGCTGCTCTGTGGAAGAAAAATGGGCATTCTTCTCCCATGCAATTAACTGCCTTTGCAAACCTGCTGGAGGGTCTGTTGTGGGTTTGTTCCGACTTGATGGTACACAGCAACAACTGTCTGCTTATTAGCCAAAATGACTAGTGACAAGGGCTTGGGCACAAGCAACCATGGCCTTATAGCCCCTTGGAGTTTGCGTACTCCATCACTCCATGGTTTTTGCAGCACCTGGACTGTCCTGTGTTTCTGTAAGTGGAAGGACAGGCCCCTGACATTATGCTCCGTGTGGTGTGATCCTTCAGCTCCCTACTTTATTGAAACTTTTTGTTTGGTTGCCTTTCTCCTTGCCCTTTACCACTGTTCCCACTCCAGTTCTGATATATACCCCAGCCCGCTCAGGAAGAGTTACTCTGACTCAGCCTTACAAACGTACCTGTGGGCCTCAGAGCCCTCCCTTGAGGACCTAGAGAGAGCACAGCCAGTGTTGGATGCCGGCTTGGGAAGCTAGTAGGCTTCAGCTCTGGACAGAACACAGCATTCCTGGCCATTGTGCAAGTTGACCTCAAGGCCTAATGCATCTGGCTTTTCCTGGGATAGTGTATTGCCTCTTTAGGAAGAGTTGAGCCTAGAGTTTCTGAGGGCTTCAATTGCATCCTCCTGGCTACAACTCACCCTGGAGACTTGGAAGTTGAATTGCCTCTGTCAGGCCTTGAATGACAGCTTCTCTATCCAGCACTGGATAGATGGAAACCCCTTCTCCGTCTCTGCATACCTCTGTGCACTTTGTCTATCTGGCCAGGCTTGTGCAATGTCAGAGACTCCGTGTGTGGTGCCCTTGTCTGTGCCATGCTGTCCTAACTTTCCCTTTGCCTCTTCAGGGAGATAGATGGCTTGGTGCCTCTCAGCATTTTTCGCTGCCTTTAGAGGCAGGTTCCAGAGTAGCAGAATAGAGCCGGTTACTTGACTTGAGCCTGGCATGGAGGAACAGCCTCTTACATCAGGTTTCAGACATGTGGCTCTTCCTTCTTTGGCAGCTAGCTGGCTTTTGGCCATCATAACTCAGCAGGCTGATGATTAGGGTGTAACTTTGGTCCTGTCTCTATGAGGTTTTGGTTAAAGAATCAAGCGTGACTCAGGCGTCTCTGTTTATGAGCTGCCACCCATGGGGGGTGTTGGGTTCTGATTCCTTCCTCATCTTGTCACACCCTCATATAATCAGCCGGTGTCTGCTTACTTGGAAATAAGTAGGCTGCTTCCAAGATTGGGAAATATTTGCTGACTAAGCTTAGAATGGCAGTCTCTTGGTGGGGGGGTGGTTGTATATGTGCGTGTGAAGAACGAGAGGAACCTGCTTCACTTGGGAGCACTGTGAGACCCGGAACAACGTTTTTGACCACTGGAGCCTCTCAGCTGAAGATGTTGGGTTTCTTTCTATTCCACAGTGTTGAGTGGTGGTCTGGGCATGCGCATGGTACTCACACAGTGGCTTCTGCTCACCAACAGATGAGGACAGATGCACCAAAGAGGTAATCTCTTCCCTTATTTAGGGACCCTTATACATTCCAGGTTTGCGATCAGTATAAAATTATTTCACATAGTTGGGCCCCAGGTTGTAGATGCCTGTCATAGCATCTAGTGCCACACACTTGCACCTAGTGGGGTTATGCAGTAATTATTAATGTCTGTGGCCCAAGTAGAATCCATGGTGGCACAATGGTAAACAGCTTGGCAGCTGATCCAAAGGTTGTCATTTTGACCCACCAGCTACTCAGTGGGAGGAGGATGTGGCAGTTGGCTTCCATGAAGGTTACAGCCTTGGAAACCCTTTGGGACGGTTCTTTTCTTTCCTGAATGGTCAATTGTCACAGTGAGCCAGGATCTACTCAGTGACAGGGGACTCGTTTTGATTTTTTTTTTCCTGGCTTTGGTTTTTTGTGGTTGAGTAGTATGGCAGGAAGCTCTGGTGGTGTAGAGAGCTAGACTGTGAGCTGAAAGGCCACACGTCTTGGGCAGTTGGAATCCACCAGCCGCTCTGAGGGAGAAAGATGGGCAGTCTCTTCACATTTGATTTACGGTCACCAAAAACCCACCAGAGGGTCAGCTGTGCCTTTGACTTTGCCTTCTGCAGTATCAAAACAGTTAAGGATGCAGCTGCTAAGTGAAGAGTTGGTATTTGAATTCACGCAGCAGTTCTGTTGAAGAAAGATCTCTAAAGGTGGTTGTTGTTAGATGCTGTCGAGTATAACTCATAGCGACCCCTGTTCTGTCCTGCGCCACCCTCACTCTTCCTGACACACCAGAGCCCTATGGGGTAGCTCTGCTTTGTTATATAGGGTTGCCGTGAGTTGAAACCAGCTCAAGAGCTCCAAACAACCACCACCCATATGGGTTCTATAAGTTCGTTGGGAGCATTAGTATTTTCTCATTTTAATTCATTAGAAAATAAACTCTATGTGGGCAAGGAGTTACTTGGTTTTCTGTTGTGTGTAAGACAGTGCACTATTCAGTAACAAAATAAGCATGAAATCTCTTCTCTGCTCATCTGAGTACCTGGGGTGCCAGACCATTAAGATGATGCTGGTTATTTGTTACTATTTATGGAACAAATATTTTGAGTTTTACCATGTATCAGGCACAGTGCTAGGCCTCATGAGAAACCGATACAGTCCTTGCCTGTATCTTGCCTGGGTCTGTGATTGGCTTGCCTATGGAGGAGCCACATACAATATTCAGAATTGTTGCTTCCACTTCTGTTAGGGCAGTGGGTCTCCACCAGTGTCTAGACAATGCTCTGGGCTTCCCATTGCTACATCCTTGTTTGTTCTCAGGATGGCAGATTTCATAAACTCTCAGAAGGGGAGCTCCAGAGAATGTGATGTTCATTGTCCCAACTGCTTGGGAGGCCCAGCTGTGATGGGGTCCCTGCTGGGGGGCAGGGGAAACATGGGGCTTCTGTTTGATTTGTTTGAACCTCTGAAGTTCAGTGGTTCCAGCAGCTGTTTATGAGCTTCACTTCCCTTTCCCTGCTTTAACACCCTGGCGGGCTTTCCTGTTGCCAAATAGGGTGCTGAGCCCCTGTGTCTGTCAGTCTGTGGGGGTCAGGCTCTTTCAGGAAGGCTTTGGGCAGGGGCCCCTTCTGTTCTTGAACCCATACCAAGTGTTTTCCTCTGAAGGAAATGTGAGAGTTGAGGAAAGGAGGGAGTTGGCTGGTTCTGAGGTTCCCTTGAAAGGGTAAAAGTGGAAGTTCTCCCTGAGCAGGGAGAGCTAGTAAGTTGAGTTGATTTGCTTTATTGTTTGTGTCAGCAGCAGTTTGCCTCACTGATAGCAATTGTGCACATCCAAAATCTTGCTGAACAACTTTCAGAAATGCAATGTGGCTGCAGTTTATCCAGATGTCAGTTAGCCAAAGCCCTTAGCTTTGAGATTCTTGTCCCCACTACTTTTTTCCCTTTATTCCCACTGGGTGAGGTGAAGCTCTAGCTTCATTGCACTTTTTACTGTTAATTTCTAAAATGCGATTGTTTCCATTTCAGTCTTTCCTATGGGAGACTTCTCCAAACTAGGTTCTTTCTATAACATGGTTCTTGGTTTCCACCTCTACCTTTCAAGCTTTGAAGACTGGTTCTTTGGACATGAAAGAAAAAGAAGGGTGTTGCAGTGCACTACGATGAATGCCAGGAGTGGTTTAATTAAAGATAAGAACTCCATCACCACCCCATCCTGAGGTTGGTCTCCCAAGACCATCTATGCCCTGTAAGTTAGGGAAGGACACAACCTATCGCTATTTCAACAGGTTATTTTCAGCTAATCCAGCCTACCAGAAAAAAGAACCAGCATTTACTGAGGTTCATGTTAATCCTTATGGGGAAGAAAATGAAGGGGTAGGGCAGTAAGTTAGCATTGTTCTCATTATGGTCAAGGCCTTCCTTGAAAACTGGCTTTGACTTCACTTTAGCATCCCTTGTGTAAAATACTGGATTCCTTTGGTGGTGCCAGTTGGCTAATGTATTTGGCTTGGTTGATGGTTTGAGGCTCCTTGGAAGAAAGACATAGTGATCAATTTCCAGAAACAATCAGCCATTGAAAACCCAAAATATAGTTCTGCCCTGACACATACAGCAGCACCAGCGGTTCAAATGGACTGCTTTTGATTTTGTATTTTTTTCCCCCCTAAATTTTATTGCTATTGAGAATATACAGCAAAACATAATCCAATGAAATAATTTGTACATGCATAATTTAATGGCATTGATTACACTCTTTTGAGTTATGCAGCTATTTTCACCCTCCTTTTCTGCATTGTTCTCCCTATTGACACAAACTCACTAACCCCTAACATTCCTGTCTAATCTTTCCTGTTACTGTCAGTTTGATCCTTTGTAAATCTTAAAAGAACATATTGCTGAAGGAATTTTTTTTTTTACTAGTTAAACTATTAGTTAAGATTACATCAGGGGATATTTTTAATCTCAGGCTTGAAGAGTATCTCAGGTCACTTTTTGGGATGCATCAACTCTCTATGATTCTAAGACATCTAGAATCTACTAGAATTTGAAATTCTGATCTGCACTTACTTCCCTTTGGTCAGGAATCTCTGGAATTTTTGATCAAAATGTTCTGTAATGGTAGCCAAGAACCATCTTGTTTGGGTTTCATAACAAAGGAGGCAATTAGTCATTCATTCATGGAGACAATTAGCTGCATATCCTGTATCTGCCTTCTATTCCTGACTCTCCTTCCTCTGTTCCAAGTAGAGACTAGTTGGTCATTATGCCTTAAGTGGCCTTTTGCAAATTTTCAAGACTCCAAGCACTACAAGCTGAGCTGCCAGTTAACTTGTATGTCCCATTAAACCATGTCTTTAAGCCTCCAAACCAGAGAACCAAATACCATGAGATGTTCGGTTGTATAAAAGCAGGCTCAGCAGCTGCTCTCTCTCTTTTTCTTTTTAATTCTTGTTATAAAGGTATATATCTTATGTTTGCCAGTTTTTCTATCCAACTTCTTAAAAACTTCTAAGAGAACAAACAGGTTCGTGGTGAAACCAGGCTGCTCTTTGGAGGCAAGGATTCTGAAGCTCCATCTGACATCTTTTGGACATGTTGCAAGGAGGAAACAATCCTTATAGAGGGACATCATGCTTGGGAGGGTTGAGGGACAACGCAAGAGAAGACCCTTGATGAGATGGATTGACCCAGTGACTGGGGTAATGGGGGTAGGTGTATCAGAGACTATAAAGTTGGCTCAGGATAGAGCAGGGTTCAGAGCCGTTGTCCATAGGGTTGCTATGAGTCACAGGCGACTTGCTGGTACCTAACAACAACAACATCCAGCTTCATTTATAACATTCATTTATAACAGTGATGAGCTGTGTAACCCTACTTACACTTCGTGAGCTTTTCTCTCTTGTCACTGTTAGCCCTTCTCTCCCCCCTCTTTGTGGTAGTTTTTGGTTGTGGTTTTGTTGGGGTTTTTTTGGTATGGTTGTGGTTTGTTGTTGTTACTGTTTTTTAATTTTATGTTGGTTTACACACAAAATACTTATTCATTGTGGTTCATTCATGCACATTTTATGTCACACACTCCTTCTTTCACATTGTGTTTTATATGATCATCCCCATCTTTTATAAGATTAATCACCATTGATCTATATCCATTGTCCCCTGTTAGTTTTTAAGGCAGTAACTAACAGCAACCAGTGTACCTTCTCACAGTTTCCATTCATGGAACCCACTGCTAATGAGGGAATTCCTAGTAGTTGTTAGAGACCATTGGATGCCAGATAATAGAGTTTATACTCTTGTCCTTGGGCAGTGGAGAGTCATTGATCATTCTAGAGCAAAGGCTATATTAATCCAGTATTGCAAAGAAGTGGATTGAATGGAGAAGGGGTGGAGCTTCTCTAGAGATAGTAGGTAATCCTGCAGTGTCTAAATGTGAGAAAATTCTTCTGATTAAATCTCAGTTCCTCTGGCTGCAGTTAAGTGTATTGATTTTGATCCATCAGCCACACACAGAGCATGGGCTAGGGAGTGGTGGGGGTTCGGGGGTGGAGGGGGTGGTAAATACATCCTCTCCCCATTTAGAGCTCTTAATTCACAGGAGAGATTAGTAAAAAGGACCACCAGGCTGAAAGGCAACTAAATTTAGGATTCATTGTCAAGACACATAGAAAGTTAACCAGTTTAGAACTAAACAGCAGAGAGTTTCCCATCGTGTTTCTGTTGATTTCATAGACCATTAAGCAAGGAGAGGAATGAGAAGAGAAAGGCAAATTAGAGGATGGTGGAGAAAGGAGCGAAGAAGGAATATAAGAAGGGAGAAAGAACAAAGGGAATGACTTTGAAGATTGGTATTGCAGGAGAGAGCATAGGGAGTTAATGCTGTTCACCCCCAAAACTGTGCCTCTTTGGAGGTTCACATTACCAGCAACTTCATGAGGGAGCAGAGGACAGTCTCCTCCCATGCAATTTACGGCATTGGAAACCCAAGGGTCAGCTATGAGTTCCTTTTGACTTGACATCAA